GTCTGAGGTGGTGGAACTCACCGTTCTGGCCAGGGTGCCTTTGGAAACATGTGCTGGGGAGGCCACATGTTTGTGACAACCAAATCCTCACGTCGTTGGCACCGCAGAGTGAACACAACCCAAAAGCGACATGCCTTCTGTTCTGCCCTCGCTGCCTCAGCCTTACCAGCTTTAGTGGTGTCTAAAGGTCATTGTATTGAGGAAGTCCGTGAACTCCCTTTGATAGTTGAAGATAAGATTGAAGGTTATAAGAAGACCAAGGAGGCTGTTCAGCTGCTTAAGAAACTTAAAGCTTGGAATGACATCACATAGGTCTATGCCTCTCAGAGAACGAGAGCTGGCAAGGGCAAAATGAGAAACCGAAGACATATCCAGCGCAGGGGACCCTGCATCATCTATAATGAAGAGAATGGTATCAGCAAGGCCTTCAGAAACATCCTTGGTATTTCTCTGCTTAATGTAAGCAAGCTGAACATTTTGAATCTTGCTCCTGGTGAGAATGTAGGACGTTTCTGCATTTGGACGGAGAGTGCCTTCAGGAAGTTAGATGAGCTGCATGGCACTTGGTGTAAGGCCGCTTCCATCAAGAGTAACTATACCCTTCCCATGCACAAGATGATGAACATAGACCTTAGCAGAATCTTGAAAAGCCCAGCGATCCAAAGAGCCCTCTGGGCACCATGCAAGAAGATTCACCATAGAGTATTGAAGAAGAATCCACTGAAGAACCTGATAATCATGTTGAAGCTGAACCCTTATGCACAGACTATGAGCAGGAATGCCATTCTTCACCAGACCAGAAATCACAAACACCAGGTGAAGAAACTAGAAGCAGCAGCAGCAGTGCTGGCAGCAGACAAGAAGTCTGCAGAGAGTGAGAAAGAAAAGAAACCTGTGGATGTCAAGAGGCTGAAGGAGCCTGCAGGGAAAAAGGCTGCAACCACCAAGAAGACAGCAGCTGGGAAGAAACCAGCAGAGAAGAAACCTACCACAGTGGGGAAAAAGCCTGCTGCTTAACTATTAAGATCTGTTTCATTCTATAGAGCAAACAGATACCGCCTATTTGAATAAAAACCCCATCAAAGATAAAAACAAACAAAAACAAAACAAAAAACCCGTAGCAAATCATTCCACTTAACAAGTAGATTATAATGATGTGCATAAAATTAAAAAATGAAAATAGACATCAGGAAAGGTATTTTTCATAGTTGTTATCAAAATTAAAAAGAGACAATGATTGTCAGGGTTTTCATGCACACTGTACCTATACTGTTTGCAAACTGGATAACTCAGATAGATGATTCACATAGACTATGATGCAACGCGTGTATAACTTGTTCAACTCTGTGTTGAGGTTTCATAAAAATGTTCAGACCTGAACCTGACACACAGTAAGCATCAAATGAAGGGTATCTTTTACTATTAGTAGCATAATACCATCCTGACAGTAACTGAAAGTCAAAAGGCTATAATAAACAGCTCCTGCCTATCCCACTTTGTGGAGGGGTGGGTTTAACATTCTTTGTTTCCATTCCACAGATTCTCAGTACCTGGCTACTAGAGCTGTTGATTGTGATGATTAAAATACTTTGAAAGTGACCAAGAGCTCAGTGTCACTGGCAGTGCACAGGCAGAGGCTTTTGTCCCAGATAGGGAGACTCCAGGGATTCAGGCCTCATGTGGAGGTGTGCCTGGCTGCCTCAGTACCCCTTGTCATCAGGTCTCCTTTCTGCTTACAGGCAGCCTGATCTCTATGCACATCCAAGCCCTCCACAGGAACAGTGCTGTGTGTCCTGACCCAGAGGTACTGCATCTCTGGGAATAGAGGGCAGATGGGTGTGGGCTTTGGGGTTACCCATGCCAGGGTTTGGTGAGTATTTAAGAAAGCCCTGTCTTTTAGGTCTTTGACCCATTGTGCTTTTCTCCTGAGAATGTGACTGGACGCCACCCCTCTGCCTTCATGTCTTTCTCTGCGGGGCCCAGGTAGGGAGAAAGACAACATTCTCAGGTCCTCAAGTGAAGGCCACCATTGGGGAGGCATCGTTAAGGAATGTTCTGTAACAATGGGTGTCTTTTGCTATTTTTTTCTGTTCCTTTATTTGATGCTTACTACTCCTTTTTGTGAGAGACAGCAAGTGAGAACTTGCAATGGTGCAATTCCCAGTGCGGCCTTTTACCATACTCCTAAGTTTTGCCTTTTAAGCCAAACAATCATATCTTATGTTTCCATAAATAGTTTTTTTTGTGGGCCTCTAAGAACAATGGATAACCAACAGATTGATGCCTCTTTGTGCTGTTTGCTGCAGGACCTGCATTGGGCAGCAGTTTGCCATGAATGAGATGAAGGTGGTCACAGCCCTTTATTTACTGCGCTTTGAATTCTCTCTGGATCCCTCAAAGCTGCCCATCAAGATTCCCTAGCTGGCCCTATGCTTCAAAAATGGCATTCACCTCCACCTGAAGCGAGTGGGCTCTGCGAAATATGTCTTCAGAGAACACCGTTAGGGACAGCAAAGGCTGTGGCTTTTCTTGGGACGTTGTCCTCCTAGATTGAATGTGGAGTTATCATGGGTCCTTACTTTGTGGAGGGGGGAGCTTATAACTGTGAAAGCATTGGCACTGATAGTCTCATGGAGGGCAGTTTCTTGTGAACATATGTGTCTAATGACTCAATACTTGGACTGTGGAGCTCAATCCTTCACTCCACAAGCATTAGTTGAACATCTGGTTGTCTTGAGAAAAATCATTTATTTCTCATAACTGTATGAATTTCTAAAACAAATAAAAACCAGGGCCATGCATTCAAGACCTTGAAAAACCTCAGTGAAGACAATGGAAATGTTGCCATGAGATTTGTGAAGGAGGCATGTGAAGGAGGGATATCTTGGATAGAAGGTGACCTTTCATTGATGTACATTTCTTTAACTGCCTCTGTGTGTATTTAGAATATATTGGGCACAGGGAAAATTGTTTAAACTAAATGTGTAAAAATATAGAATGATTCTTAAAGCAAATTTCCACCACTAAAGTAAAAGAATATGAAAGTTATCATTTATGGTGTTTTTTATTTCTAGAGCCATGTCTCTGTGGCACTCGTCATTCTTGACAGTGATGTCTCATAGTCATACAGTGCTCTGGGCATTGGCAGCATTTCTAGGGAAGGTGGTGCAATAGAGTTAAAGGTGAACTTCCTGGGAGAAAGGATACTCTTTTCCATGAGGCATAAATGTACAAAGAAGGACTTTTGGGGTGGGGTTCAGGGCAGAGCCCACATGATGACTTAGAGATATTTCCCTGGCAGTCCCTGCAGCAGTTTTTTCATGGCTATGGGTACCTATATACCTAGGGCTTGAGATCTAAAGTCACTAGGAAGTTCCAGTCCAGGAATTAGTCCCACAGGGAAAGAAGGGCACTACAAACTAGAATTTGAGGCAGTAGATAGGGATTCTATCAGTGGGACTTATTGAAGACTTCAGGGCAGTCATATTCAACAGGAGTTGGGGGATGTCAAATAATACTTTCACATTGGTTGCCTAAGACCATCAGAAAACACAGATGTTTGTAGTATGATTCATAACAGTAGTGAAATTGCAATTATTAAGTAGCCATGAAAATTATTTAATAGTTGGGTGTTACCACAACAGGAGGAGCTGTATTAAAGTGTCTCAGCATAAGGATGCATGAGAACCACTGACCTAGGCTGTCCTGGTTATGTGCCATATACATTTCTTACTACAGATATTTTCCTACTTGAAAGAAGACTGCATTTTGTCAGATCTGTCCCAGGACACTTGGTAACTATTATAAAGCCATGTCAAGACACACGTCTCCTTGTAAACTAGAAGATGGGATGCAAAGGTTCCTTTTCATTGTGACTGTTGGCTATGAGCCCTAATGCAACTAAGTTGACCTTTATGTCCTAATACCACAAAGACTGCTCTCTGAACAAATGCAGTAAGGTTTCAACTGTTATCACTCAGTGTCTACTCATAACCACCATGTGCTGCTGGGTGGCACCTGAATCTAAACCATATCATTTTAGATCTTTGGAACCTTGGGAGTTGTGGGGTATGAACAGGATGGAGGCAGCCCTTCTCTGTTAGGAGGAAACTGTGACTGCATTTTAATAGTAAGGGAAGGATCCTGAGAGACACTAATGTAGGAGGAACTTAAACTAAATCTTCCTGACTCAGATGCCTTTTGTTCAAGACTCCATCATTCATATGAGTTCTTATTGAGTATTTGTATCAGTGGTAATAAAGCCAAGCACTGTGACTCTGATGTTTGTGTGTTCTCCTAAGTAGTAGAGTCTTCGCTTGTGTGTGTGTGTGTATTATGACCTCCTGGGTGAGGGACAGTGTACACTGGGAGTGGTGGCCATCACCGATGACCACTGTTTCATCTGCAGGACATTTCACACCAACCACACCCTGAGGCCCCATTGACCTTGGGCACACTAATGCATATGTGTGGGTGGAAGGTGCTGTGGGCGTGTATACAGTGCACGCGTGAGTGTCAGTTTGTGTGCATCATGGAGGGGGAATGCACATGACAGTGAAATGAGCTGCTCTTGCTCATTGCTTCCAGGCTGTAGAATTACTTTCTGGTTACACATTCCATCCCATTTGGAATCCTGTGTTTAGAGTACTTGTCCTTGGCTGGGCACCAGGATTCTGTGCTCTCACTTTTGTGTCTCTGTATGTCCAGCATGAGACTTTCTGTATTGCTTGAAATTCTGTGTTCAGGATTTGGGTTCTACCCTTGATCAGGCACTGCGTGTCCAGTCTGTACTCTCCTGCACTTCCTCAGAACTGGCCTGTACCATCCCATCAAACTGGTAGGTTAGGAGACTAGGAAGGAGGTCCTGGTTGCATACAGTGGCTTCAAGAGAAGCCTTTTCCAGGAAGCAGACATGGCAAACTAGGGAAGTCTGTCCATGGCATCATGGATCCTGATCCAGGAGTGCTTTGAAGCAATGTGGGAACATGACAAACACTGTGTGCCACACGGGGAACTTTATTGCTGAAAGCAGGGAAGATGGAGACTCTTGTGTGAGGGACAGTCAGGTGGAGAGAGACTGTGAAGGAGAGATGTAGACAAACAGACCGGGTGATGGCCATGTAAATACAAAGCCACACTTCACAACGGCTTCACAATGATGTTTAACCCCTAAGTTATGGAGACCATGAATGTTTTCTCATAATTAAAAAGGGCATAGTAGATTAGATTGAGTAAGAGATATGGATATGTGAGAATTATATTGGATTTTTAGTGGGCTTGATGATGTCACAAGAGTCTTTGGAAAAGTTAAGGAAATTAGTTGAGAGGGCTTTGGAGGATGCTGGCTTTAAAGTGGGTGTGAGAGTCCAGTGTCAAGAAATGATGGTTTATTCTGAGAAGGGGAGGAGGAGGACTCTCCACAGAACTCTGCAGAGGAAGGATGGCTGTGCCAACAACTTGCTTTTCTGCCATTTCAAACTTCTAAGATCCAGAGCTGTAAGATAATAACCTTCTGTCATTTTAGACAACCAAGGTTGTGACAGCTGATCATTAGAGTTATGAATAAGTCATGTACACAAAAATAAGATGACAGAAAGATACGAGGCAAGGAGAGGAGGCTGGAGGACAGAGGAGATTAGGGATCAGATGTGTATAGCAGGAGACAGAAAGAAACAGGGAATCTAGAGGAAGGAAGGAGTGGGGCAGGTACAGACAGGGGGACACAAGGAGCAAATGGGAGTGAAGAAAAATGAGCAGATAGAAAGCAGGATGGTGAAAGGCACAGATGACATGAAGCTGGAATGTCAGGCAGTACACTCATAGAGTCTGTCTGCGTCCCAACCAGAATCAGTGGATCTTCTTGAGACATAGGTGGATCCCATTCTTGGATTTCAACACAAGTCGTGGTAAAAGGATGGGGACCTTGGTTGGATCAGGCAGCAGCTCAAAGCGGAGTAGGGTCAAGGCCACTACCACCTTCAGCTCATTCATAGCAAACTGTTTTCCAATGCAGTTCCTGGGTCAGAAAGGGACAATAAGACTCAATGACTTCTGACCTGAGCAGTGAAGGGCCCCAAAATAGACCAGATCAGCATCCAGGGCCTACATCCATAGGTGCATTTTGACTTCTGTCATCACAGGCCACACCCACTCCCCGGGTATGTTACCCCAGTGTGCCCCCCCCACCGTGTCACTCCTCCCTGCCTGTCTCTCCTGCCTTTAAGTTTAGCTTCTACATTTATCAAGGCAACATTGACCATAGTTGTATTAGAGTTATGAAATATGTTAGGCCATTATTCTAAGGACTAGAGGTCCAACTTGTGAATTATTTAATATGTTTTTCATTGCTTAGTTTACTCCATTCAGAGATATGTAGGACATGGGTTCTAAAGAGTGGAGTCAGATTTCAGTAGGAAAGTTCCTGCAGGGGACTGTGTAGAGGATGCTCTATTGCTTTCCCATCTGTCTCCTACTTTGGGCACCTCTACCTCCTATACCAACATATGTAGCCTTTTATCTGTACTTCAGAAATGTCCCTTGTTCATCCTCCAGTTTTCTGCCCTGGACTGCCCTGTCTTCCTAACTCTCCCTCCCCAATGACCCTCTGTACCTCCATCACACAGGGCTATATTCAGAAGCCTAGCTACAGCCATACCCTCTACTGGCTGCTGCCCTCACCAACTTCCTGCCCATCTCACTTCCTACTTCAGATCAAATTATTGACGTGTTTGAGAATGTCTCCTCCCTCTCAGGCTGCATAATACCAATGCTCAGACTAATGAGCATCTGGCTTTCATTTCTTTACTGACCGTCCCTGTCCCTAAGGTGCACCCAAGGCACCATCAGTGCTATATTCAAGGGCATGCCGCAGTCAGGACATGGGATGATATCAGGAGCACAGAACATCCAGAAAACTGCACAGTGAATGACGTAAAGAACGGGGTAGAATATATTTTGACCACAGATAAATTTTTCTTTGGGACTACAGTTTTGAGTTAGAGGCTGTGATAGGGAGTATCATTCATGCCCATATTTTTTTTTATCTAGCATATCACCTGATACACAGGAGTGCCTTAATTTTTTTACACATAAAAATTATTTTCACTTGGCTCTAAAAATTAATTCATTTGAATTTAAGGCATGAAAAATGGGATGAAATATAATACAAATTAAAAAATCTTCTGACCAAAGCAAGGTGTGGTGGCCTGTATTTGAATCTCAGAATTGGGATGTTGAGGCAGAGGGATTATGGGATCCAAGCAAGCCTTCCTACCTCAGAAAATCCAGCAGCAGCATTGTTCATTCCAACTTTAGCTGAGTTTCCCTATGATCTACTGTCATCTACTGTCAGTGACATGATTGTCAGTGAGTGCAGGTAAGAGCATTCAATCATGAAGCACACCAAATGCTAGACAACTTGTGTCTGGAAGACTAGTTGTCTTAAAGCCTGCACTGTGAAAGCTGATTTGTCGCTTGAGGAATTCATGAAGTACAGGCTCAGAAAACTCACTTCTGCACCACTTTTTAAAGCTAACAGTGAGTCAGTTCCCATAGAAGCTGTTTAGAAGCATCAGAACTCCTTCATCTGGTTCAGTAGCTATTTCAAGAATGTTTTATATTTCACTCACCAGGAACCTTCATAAAAAACTATGTGTTACATAAAACAGGGTTTTCTCAAAAACAGTTTACTTCCCTCTTCTTTAATGCTTTTAGTCTGAAGACAGACTACACAGTCTCTAAGTGTAACTTAAAGGAAGATGTCTTTTCTCTCAAGGTTTGGCCATCCTTCATTTGCAAGACAGATATAGGCCATCAGCACTGAGTCTTTGTGGTGCTGGGAGAGACTGCACAAGAGGAGTCAATGCAGACTGACACAAAACTGTCTTCAAATGACCCACAGTAAGACTTTTAAGTGTCTTGCTGGGCAGTTGTCCATGTTAGACACCCAAGCAAACATATGACGACTTACAGTGATTCTACAATTAGAGGACTCCCTAGGAAGTATAGAGGCTTGGATGAGGTGTGGAAAAAGGCAGGGCCCTCAAGAGTATTGAAACTTGAAATGCTGAACACCTGAGGTTAAATTCACATGGAAAAAACAACTTAAAGTCCTGCCTCTAAAGTGAGGGAACTATCAGAACACATGCAAGTGTGTGACATCCACTGACATGGAAATTTGGATGGCTAATGGAAAGAAAAATGGGTTAATGTCTTCATACCGTCTTCTGAAATGTTACCCTCCCTATGTGCACAGACACATCTAGTAGAAGCTTTCCACCATATCCACCAACATGATATACCTGGACATGTCATATATTCAGGAGGTTAAAAACATCAAGGCATGCCGCAAAGAGTCCCACAGTGCATTTTATCAGCACACACACGATGTCTCACCTTGCTCCTCCTGAGAAGGGCAGGAATGAGTGGCTGTGTCGGGGAGAATCTGCTGCAAACCTGGAGGGGTCAAACACCTGCAGGGAGACAGCAACTCAGCCAGGACAGGGAGGGATTAAAACCCTGCTTTCAACCCTCCAGGGACAAGACGCCTATAGGTGGGGACAGCAGGAGAATTGGTCTGGACATATCTTCCCCTGCTTTACTGTAGTGCCTCCTACCTCTGGGTTTGGCCACACCTCCGGGTTGTGGTGGAGTGCATAAATGGAGAGTGTGACTGGGATACCTGTGGGGCAGATAGGGATAGGACAGAAGATGGTTATACCCAGGGTGTGAATCTTTGGTTCCTGAGACAGCAGGGGACATACTTGCACAAAAGATCTGGTTCCTACAGGGCATCTTTGTGTTGATGTGGGTGACTTGGAAATGGACTTGAAGCATAAAGAAGGAGTATGAAATGGAGTTAAAGAAAGAGAACCAGAAAGATATGAACCTGAGTTTTGTGAGTGAATCAAATTAGAACTTAAATTTGATGAAGGATTTCTAGTAAAGATGTACAATAATTCAGTCCCCTAATACTCCCCCAGTTGTTTTAGTCTGGTTTTTCAGGTGAGTTAATGATGCTTCAGAGAGTGATTATGTATCATCAGCAAAGTAGTATGTGGCACAAGAAGGATTTTGACAGAATGAGGTGTGAGACACATATGATATCCTGACATTACAGGGGTCTAGTGTCTGTTCATCAGTTCATTTCTGCCATCAATCTGATGCTTCTCAGAAACCCATGTCACTGAATGATGATGTCCTTCATTTGCTTTGACCAAGAAAGAAAACCATTTATTAACCTCTTTCTGATCCTTTATTTATTCTTTACCTCCCAGTATATGGATAAATTAATAATATCACATTCAAGGGTACTTTGTGATGAATATTCTAAGAATTGTGCCACATATGTATATGTATATGTACATGTATATAGATGTGTATGTGTATCTGTATTTGTTCTGTACATGTATAAATGTGTAGCTATCAGTGAAACAAGCTTGAAAACAACCCTGTCAATATTTTGTTTAAGAATCAGGGCTGCTAGTTGGCTACCAGGTCATTTTCTCTATGTTTGATGACATAAGTAAGTTAGTTGTGTCTTCAGCAATACGTTCTATCCTTCAGATGATTGAGAGTAACCAATAGCCTTGGCAAGAATCATCAGTCACATGGTATTTACTTATTAATATATGAATAGCAGTTCTTTACAAATTATATCAAACATAGAGGATGATAGAAAGATGTGACATTTGGGATGGAGAGATAGAACCTGGTAACGTGCTTTCTGTACAAGGATGGGGACCAAGGTTTGATTTTCAGGATCCATAAAAAACCGTGTGTAGTGGCACATGTTTGCCATTGCTCTGTCGGTGAGTTTGGGGCAGGCACCCACTGGACATCCATCCTAGCCTAAAAGGTGAGTTACAGATCAGTGAGAGACGTCCTGAACTGAAAAATACCAAGGTGGACAGTACATGAGGCTTCCCTTTGTATGTGCAAACATACACCTGTTTTCCTAGCCCCAACATGAAAACACACACATGACACCATGAGGACACACAAAGGATAAGTCTGGCTATGAATTACATAGTGATGATAAATGGAATAGTGTCTAGAATATAAGACTGCATCATGATAAGGACATGGATTAAAAATAAGGACCACTACCTGATAAACAGGAAATGCTTACAATCTTTCATGCAAAGCAGAATAATTGGAGATCCTTTAACTTTATAAGAACTCATTTAAACTCATATTCACATGAGAAAATGTACTTTGTGAGGAAGAAGAATTTACTTACTGAAAAACAAATACACACCCACAGAGATTCAGGACTGTGGTTCACTCAGACTTCTGATCTGCCCTTATCTCTGGAGTGATTTTAGGTGACCAGGCCAGGGAAACTCATACCTTTTGGTAAAGAGCGCCCATCAGGGAAGGTGACAGGTGTGCTGAGCTCTCTGACAATGGTTGGGACAGGTGGGTAGAGCCTCAGGGACTCCTTGATGCACATGGTAGTGTAGGGCATCTGGTCCAGGTGATCCCTGAAACAAGGTCCATTCTGAAGTCAGGTAGACTGGAGACCACGGGCTCCTCTATACCCAAAGAATAAGGGTTCTGTCACCTCTTGAACTCTTACCAGGTAATGGAGGATCCATCTCCCAGGAGGCTCTGAACTTCTTCCCTGCATCTCTGCTGGTATTCAGGGTGAGTGGCCAGAGCATAGAAGATCCAGGAGACTCCACTGGCTGTGGTGTCATGGCCCTCAAACATGAATGTGTCCACCTCAGCACGTATGTCCTTGTCAGACAAGCTATCGCCATTCTCCGTCTGAGGGAGGCAACAGGTGTCATCAGAGCTGTGTGCTCCAGGCAGACTCTCTATGATACACAGGCCTCTGTGACACACCCACCCTGGCAAACAAGAGGATGTCCAGAAAATCCAAACGTCTCTTCTTCTTGACCTTCTCCAGCTCTTCCTCATCCTGCAGTTGATCCTTTCTCAGCTTGATCACTCCATCTGTACAGAACAGCAGTTATCTAAGAGACTTGAGAGCTACAGTAACATTGTGTAGCTCCACGAGCCAAGTGCTATATATATATATAGCTCAATAAATAAGGAGTGGGCAGGGTTAGAAGACTAGTACCATTTGGTGCAGGTCAGACCTCCTTTCTGGAGGATGGGTCAAGGAAGTTCTGCTTGAACTGCTGGGTCAGATCTCACTAAACTTTACCAATATGATGACATCCACATAACACCTGGCATTCTGACATCCCAACTTAAACAGTTGCAGTGTAAAAAGTATCCACAAGTGTGTGACCCAGGTACTTTAGGGACATTGAATTCATCAACAGCCAAACCCTTTGAGCTAATCCTGGGAAATGATGGAATCATGAGGTACAGACTGAACCTGTGTGATCATGGGCGAGCTGACAGGCACGGTTGGCCATGCGGCCATTGGAAGACAGACTGTAGATGGTATCATTCTGATGGAACATGTTCCTTACACGGGAATAAAATAGGTTGTTCAGGGCCCCAATTGCCTGAATGTAGTTCTTGTAATTTCTGAGGAAGAAGACACACAATAGATTAGACTGTGAAGAGATCTGACTAGCAGATAGATGTACTATGGAGAGAGATTTTCTGTATGATAGAGATGGAGAGCATTGAAGCACAACATTAATTTTGTCTTATAGTCCTTGTAATTTTCAAAACTGTAGAAGTGAGCATTAATATCTATACATCAATCTCAGCTAGGAATCAGTAGTCTGTAGTTGGGTCAGGGTTGGATTGTGTCAGGAACTGAGCTGGTTCTGGTGTCATACTCTAGAATTTTTTTTGTAGAGGCAAGATCCAAGCTGCCCTACCTGCATGTCAGATGAGGCTGTACCAGTTGGTAAGACCAAATGCCCTGAAATTCAAGGGTTGTCACTCACCCATCCACCTGGACGCTACCCTTGTGACTGAAGGCACACTTCATGACAGTGTCTAGGGTCATCAAGGAGATGTGTTGAAAGATCTCAATAGAGGAGTCCTGACCAGCCAGCTGTTCCCATTTGTCCTGCAGTGGTAGGGCAACATTGTCTGAATTTCCAAAAGAGACTTGTGTTCGTTATACTGTATTCTTTCTCTATATTTTCAGATGTTGTGTTGTAAGTCCTTCAATTCAAATAACATGTTCTATAGATTACAAAACAAATCTTTGTAAAGTGATACCTAAATTCTTGTAAATTATTTCATAATTAAATGCCAAAACCCATAAGTTAGGAAACAAGTTTCAAATGTTTGCAACTAGTTAAGATGTTTTATGTGACAGCAAAATTGTTTTAGGGGTCAAGGAAGGCGATGCACCAGGGTTTGGAGAGTTGAGCACATCCTGAGACAATGGTAGGACTTCCATGTTATTAATCAAAAGAAAGCCCAAGGAGCCACTATGGGCATTTCTAATAGGGTCAACAGTCACTCAATTACTATGTATTCATCAAAGATTGTTGAGAACAATTGAGTATAATCCAGAGTCCTGTTGAATATAGTGGTATGGCAGGTTTGGAAATGGCAACATGGTTTTGGCCTCCCTTTTCCTGCTGAGTCACTCAAGTCCATTCAGAAGCATTGAGACTGAAGGGAAACTCTGACTCAGTGTCATCCTCTGAAGTCTCTGTTAAGTTGAGGATATGAAGAGGAATTTAGAATCCCTATCTAGCTGTCAGGGGCCTCTGGCCATCAACCAGCTAGGTTGCATCAAGTACTCATAGAAAAGACATTACACCAAGATCACCCTGCTGCCTCTTCTGATGTAAAGTAAATTCCAAGAAACAGGCCTGTGGTTTATCTGTCAGTTAAAGATTAGCTTAATTGGAAAACTACAAAGTCCTCAGGAGATAGGCCTGAGCAATAGTAAATTGTAATAGATAGGATCAGATCCTGCTGTCAGGTTACCAAACAACTCAGGAGGTCCTACCCCTGACCTCTTGCCCTGCAGATTAGGTTACCAGGCAACACAGGAGACCATCTCTCCCACTGACCTCTTGCCCTGCCAGCGTCCTTGTAGCTGCAGTAGACCCCCATCCCTTCCCCCCCCACTTCTCCTATATAAATCCTTTTGGATAAATAACGTCGTCACCTTGATTAGATACCTGTCTTGGTGTACTTTCTCATATCTCCCGCCCCCATCTTTCTCCTAGGTGTCCACTAGACCTACATTGAATGTCCCACAGGACGGGGCATCTACCATGATGCTCTTTGCTTTGGTCAATGAGCAAGTATGGCCATATCCTGGTACCTGGGATATTCCTGTTTCACCTCTGTTTGAAGAACCTATATCCATAGTAGAATACACAAGGGCGGCCTGTGGTGTACACTCTGAGTAGGCAAAGAATGAGATTGAGAGAGAGAAAGAAGAGAGAGGGGATTATGAGCAGTAAGAGGAGAAGGAAGAAGATGCTGCTGCTACTGAGCTGTGGTAGTAAAAGCACTAGCAGACCCAGAACCTGATGTAGAAAGGACACCAGAGCTGAAAGCAGCAGAGGAGAAGAAAGTCAAATGAACTCACCAGCATCAATCGGATGGAATCAGCCATGGTGTTCACATAGGGCTTCAGAATATCATAGTGGAAGGCTGGGGTTAGCATCCGCCGGTGCTGGAACCATGGCTGTCCATTCAGCAAGAGCAAACCATAGCCTGGGCCAGAGATGGGTGTGTGTATGTATGTGTGAGATGGATCAGAGAGACAGTTAGATAAACTTGGGGAGGCGTGTGAAGTAGAGCTGTGGATGACTACTCTGAAAAGTGGTACAGTTCATAATATGAATTGCCTACCTGGTGGGACTGGCATACATTCTGTGATTATGACAGCTTTGAGATAAAAAATTAAAAAAGAGTTGAGGGTTGTAGACCAATGAGGAACACACACAATGTTTAGATATGATTGCTTGGTGAAATACAGGGTTAGAAGTAGAACTTCTACTCCTGTGTGTGTGTGTGTGTGTGTGTGTGTGTGTGTGTGTGTTTGTGTATGTGGGGGCTTAGATCAAGACAGTGGTGGCCTGTCACATTTTGTTCTCTGTGAGAGTAACAGAACTTGCAAAATCTAACTGGGACAAGACCACAATTCCAATTTACACACACATACCAATCCAAGGAGCCAGCAACCTGTAGGCACCATTAGCTTTTGGATCTGAAACAGAAACAAGAAATGGGAGAAATAATGCAGCACTGAGGCAGCCGTGGTTGAAGTCATGGGCTTCTGTGATCTTTTAGTGACTCTCTGTTGTCAAACTGTCCTATGTCACTGTCCATTTCCTCACATCTCTTTCCAGCTTTGACCAAACAGTTAGGCTTTGGAAGGCAAGATTCATGTGCCAGTAGCTGGACTCTCCTGGGGCGGTATGATGAGTTGGTGAAGAACAGTCCATGTCCTCAAAGTCAAAGAACAGGGCAAGTGTAACAATTGTGTGTGTGTGTGTGTGTGTGTGTGTGTCTGTGTGTGTGTGTTAGCGTGTGTGCATGTGTACCTGTGTGTTTTACAGCGGATCATGACTTAGTTATTCTATGATTCCAAGCAGGTAACAATTAGAGATTTCAAATTCAATCCACTATGCATCTCAAATGTGTTTTCAGATCTAGAGCAATTATAGGACATTCCATCTTAATTTGATTAAATAGCAAACAGGTAACAGAGTTTGACTAAGTGGTTTGAAATTTTAATACCGACTGCTGTAGGCCATGTTCTAGGTTGTTGGTATATAAAGTATATAGGGCAATGGCTGAGTGGCACACCCTTCTGGAATTTGACATGCTAGAGCTAATTATAATGAGGAAAGTACAAATCTCTTTAGAATGATATACTCTTACCTGATCGCCCCAAAATCACCTTCATGTAGTCGGGGTCATAGACAGTAAAGTAAGCTTTGCTCCCCCAGAACCAGCGAGGAAAGCCACTTGGAAATTTCTCTACACACTTCATAGTTTCCTCTATCTCCTGGTCACCTTGGAACTGCTGTTGAGGGAAAGATAAAGCAGTGGAACTCTAGTTTAGTTTTTTGGACCTTAGGCAAGAGCAGAACAACACACCAACATAGTTCTGGAGTGTTCAGAAGCAGCTCAGGATTTGGAGCAGTTTGATGGACTCTCTGTGCTATCACTCACTTTGGCTACCTTAGGAACTGGTCCTGAACTGGATTTGACAGTGCCATTGGGCGGATCCTCAGCCATACACACAAGCACCACATCTCCATTTCATTCTAAGAACATCCATTGCACATCCTTTGTGCATCCACATATCCTTCTGTTTGGCTATGGGCCTTATTTCTCAGGTTGAGAGTAGGAGACAGTACTGTCCATTCACAATTTGCAGGCTGCTACGCCATCTTCTTCCTGGGAGATCTCAGAACCCTGTGCCTGGCTCTTGAACTGAGCACTGTGGTACAGTGAAGTGATGGTGTCTTGAACCTAAGTAGGTAACAGTGCAGCTTGTGTGGAAGGAGAATGGAGGGCTAAAACAGACCCTGAGGAAATTCTAATATCAGGGATCTCACTTGAGGACACTACACAGCCTTTTGTCTTTATGTGCCCTGACTTTGGGATTTCAGTTGTAATTGACACATCATGAAAATTCGTCTGGGGAAGATTTTCTGGGGCAGCTACCCAGTCATTCCAGCAGTGTGAACTTCTCTTGTGTCTGACAGCTCCTGAGATAGATATGTGCCATTGATACACCAAGAAGCCCATGGGGCAAGGCTTCCATCTCACTGATTTCTGCATTCCCAGACAATCTCTGAGCTTGGAAGAGAGTATACATGAGTGAGTATGCAGGGAACCACCCAGAAGCTGTTTGAGAACACCAGAGGCAATTGAAGGTGCTCATCTTGAAGAGGAGGAGACTACGTAGGCTCAACCACAGCCTTCCAAGTGAGGGGCTATCAGTACAAAGCAGAGCAACAGCCAGACATGTTGAACCACCCTAATATTGGAGGGTATCTCAGCCTGAGCTGTGTGTCTCATGAAGTACTTGGCATTTTATACAGTGGGCAGCATCCTGTGATCTTGATGGCCGGTCTCTGAGATCCCCCATCCTCCCCGCTCTCCCATCAACCTTCCCTTTCCTTCTTCCCTTCATACCTGGTGTCCAAAGAACCAGTGAAAGGGTGGGGATGGGAACTGCTGGAAAGCTTTGAGTAGCCATTGCCTGTGCAGGTAGAACTGGACCACTTTAAGCAGCAGCAGAAGCAACGCAAGCACCGAGGCCACTTGGAGGAAGCCAGAGAGGCTGCCTACAAATCTGCTAGGGCTCAGAGCAGAGACACTCATGGTGCAGGCACTCCCAAGTCACAGAGTGTCCTCACTCTCAGGAATCCTCTCTACCTCCTGCATAAATCCTGTGAGGGCTTCCTGCCTAGCTGTGGGAGGGAGGAAGTTTAAGGCAGACAGAGATTGTTCACAAAGTGCAGTTGGTCAATTAAAGTGAATGATTTACCTTGAGAGGCAGAGAAATGATTTGTCAGCTGACACTAGCTAAGTGCCAGACCTGACCTGTGCCACTTTCCTTCCTTTTTGTTAGTCTGAAACATTCATTTATTTCCTTTTTCATTTTCCTTTTATTCAAATCTTTTTATATGCATTTATGGAGTATAGTATGATATTTTAGCACATTCCCACTGCCCTTATTTTTAAGAAGAGTAATTATCATTTCTTTAAATATTCATCCATTTATTTTATTTTTCAAGGAATTATTAATTTAAAAAAATCAAGCAATGTTGTTATATTCATGCTGATTCTGTGTATGACATGAGGGGTGGTCACCATACCCCTGGCTCTTTTCCTGTGCTTCATGTCTTAATTCTGTGCTTTACTTGTTGCTTTTGTGGGTTCCTGAATATACCACAGCATACATAGCACCTAGATAGCTTTTCTAAAATGCCTGTGGAAAATGAATGGTGAGTGGTTCTAATTCAGTCTGCAGAGAATCTAGGCAATGTTTCCCTTCTTCATCTAGGTCTCAGGGCCTGCCCATGCCTAATGATGCCAAAGTCTCTGTTGAATGTTTTCTATTGCTCCTGGGCCAGTCATCTGCTGCCTGAAAGGGGTTGAGCATCCGACTTGGATGCTGAGCACATCTTCCAGATATAGGTTCTTTTAACTGGACAAGTCTGAGCTGCAGCTCATGGGACTTTGTCTGATCAACACACACACACACACACACACACACACACACACACACAAACACATTCACATACTCACTCACACACTTTTTTTGCTGTGTTAACTGTTATGTCTTGCAGGGTCATCAGTGATGACCTATTAGTATCCTATTATTGCTACTGCTTGAGTTTAGTCTGGGCTCTTATTTCTGTGGGGAAATAGATGACTGGAGGCAATCGATGATATAGACCTAGCTCTCCTTGACACTCACTAATGGCAAAGGAGCCAGGCTAGTCAGGGTCATGTGACAGGGTCTTGTGTTTCTTTCCTTTCTTCCACACCATCTTATCAGGCTTTGTCGACAACATAGAGTTTAATTTTGCTTTTGAACTCTATTCCACCAAACTCATTCTTTTAATTGGAAATTTTAATCTATTTCTATAAAGTTTCTGTTGTGACTTGGCATATTTCTCTCTCTCTCTTTTTTTAGAATTTCTTACCTTTTACTTTTGAGAGCTTGAATATAATGTGTCTTTGACAGGATCATATCAGTTTAATCTAAACAGAGTCCTTTGAATTTATTGTACTTAGTTGTCCATGTAGTTCTCAATATTTGGAAGGCTTTCAGCTATTATTTAACTTAATAGCTCTGTTTTCTGTCTGTCTGTCCATTCGTCCTTCAGTCTGTTGTTCGTCTGCCCATCCGTGTGTGTGTGTGTGTGTGTGTGTGTGTGTGTTTATTTTGTTGCACAGGCATGACATAAATGTGTGTGTGGTGGTCAGAGAACAACTTACATGAGTCTGTTTTCTCTTTCTATCATGCAGATTCCAGGGATGGAACTCATGGTGTCAACTCAGAAGCAAACACTTCTAAGCACCTAGCCACCTCACCAGCCCTCATGAAGTAGGCTTCTTTTCATTCTGTAACTCCTTTAATGTGAATATTTTTTACTTAATAGTACATTGTTAGCCTCATGTACTTTATCATTTTCCTTTTTTGAGGGGCATCTGCTTGTGTTATTTGAAAAGTCAGTCTTCGCACTGACTACTCTTCCAGAGGCTCTGAGTTCAATTCCCAGCACCCACATGGCAGCTCACAATTGCCTGTAACTCCAGTTCCAGAAGATCCAACACCCTCATACAGATATACATACAAGTAGAACACCAACGCATGTGAGGTAAAAAAAAATAATACTAGGGTATTCTACATTTACTCAGACTGACATATTCTCAGTCACAAAGACAGACTTTTACACAGACAGCAGGTAACTGTAGATTTTAGTACAAATTCAGAGCAGGCTGTTTTCCCTTGAAACAAATATTGGCTGCACCAGGACAATTACATGAGGTCATTTTCTGAGGTGTTGTTTTACTGATTCAAGGTCAGAATAGAAGCAACCTTAGTGAGCATAACTCCCTGCAGCAATGGACCTTTCTTCATGGACTGCCCAACCTCAAGGTTCAGTCAATTATTTACTGTATGGGAACCCTCACCAACTTAGAGCTACATGCTTGTGTCAACATGACATTGCTAGCCTAAGAGAAGTTAGTTGACATATCTTGTGTTATGAGAATGGGTCAGGCCCTGAAAATTTAAGTTTTTTAAAATTTATTTTTAGAAACACTTTTATTTACGTATCCATACCCCCAGTCCCTTGCCCTCACATCCTCCCATCCTTCCCGCTGACACCCTAACCCACCCCCACCCATCAGGGATCATCAAAGTCCATCACATCATTTGGGGGAGGGCCCAGGCCCTCCCTTCCGTATTTGGACTGCAATAGTATGCCTCCCTTGGGAATGGGCTCCCCAAGGTCATTTGTGGCCTAGGAATAAACCCTGGCTTCACTGTTAGATGTTCCATAGAATGTCTCGGCCTCCTAGCTCGTACCCAATTCAGAGGGCTTAGTTTTGTCTAATGCTGGTTCCTCTGCTTTGCAACTATGGTCTGTGTGCTCTCATTAGGTCAGACCAACTGTTTCTGCAGTTATCTTCTGTTCTGCCATGGTTAATTTGGTCATCTCTCCTCCCTCTCTGCAACTGGATTCCAGGAGTATGGCTCAGTGCTCAGCTGCAGGTGCCTGTTTCTGCCTGGACCAGGTACTGGGTCAAGGCTCTTGGAATGGTAACCAAGGTAGTCATCAATCTCATTATAGGGGAAGGGCATCAAAGGCAGCCTCTCCACCAATGCCTAGACTCTTAGCTCAGGTTATCCCTGTGGATCCCCTACCATTTCCTTTGTGTCTGACCTCTCTCCAAACCTATAGTGTCTCCCTTTATCAAGGCATCTCCTTTCTTGCCCTCTTCTATTCCTCCCCTGTCTCAGTTCTCCTGTTCTCATTCCCCTTCCCCCTTCTCCTTTCTCTTCTTTCTATCTCCCACCTCTCTCCGCCCTCAGGCTCCCAATTTGCTCTGGGATTCTTATCCCCCTTCCCTTCTTTGGGGGACCAAGAGTGTTTTCTCTTGGGGTCCTACTTGTTTTCTAGCTCTTCTGGTGTAGTGGATTGTAGTCTGGCAATCCTTTTCTCTATGCCTAAAAGCCATATATGTGTGAGTACATAACATGTTTGTCTTTATATGACTGGGTTACCTCATTCAGGATGGTTTCTTCTAGTTCCATCCATTTGCCTGCAAATTTCAAGTGTCCATTGTTTTTGCTGCTGAGTAGTACTCCTTTGTGTAAATGTACCACATTTTCTCCATCTATTCTTCAGTTGAAGGGCATATAGGTTGCTTCCAGGTTATAGATATTACAAACAATGCTTGTATGAACATAGTTGAACATATGTCCTTGTTGTATGAATGTGCATTTTTTGGGTATATGCCCAGGAAAGGAATTGCTGGATCTTGAGGTAGACTCATTCCCATTTTCATGAGGAACTGCTATACTGATTTCCAGAGTGGCTGTACAAGTTTGCACTCCCTCCAGCGAGGGAGGAGTGTTCCTCTTTCTCTACATCCTCTCCAGCACAGACTGTCATTGGAGTTTTTGATTTTAGCCATTCTGGCTGGTGCAAGATAATATCTCAAAGTTGTTTTTAGTTACTTTTCACTGATGGCTAAGGGTGTTGAGCACATTCTTAAGTGTATTTTGGCCATTTTAGAGTCCTCTATTGAGAATTCTCTATTTAGTTCTGCACCCCACTTTTTAATTGAATTGTTTGGTGTATTGGTGGCTAGCTTCTTGAGTTCATTGTATATTTTGGAAATCAGCCCTTTGTCAGATGTGGGGTTGGAGAAGATCTTTTCCCATTCTGTCAGCTGCTGTTTTGTTTTGCTAACTGTGTCCTTTGCCTTACAGAAGCATCTCAGTTTCAGGAGGTCCCATTTATTAATTGTCGCTCTCAATGTCTGTGCTACTGGTATTATATTCAGGAAGCCATCTCCTGTACCAATTCATTCAAGGGTACCTCCCACTTTCTCTTCTAAGAGGTTCAATGTGGCTGGATTTATGTTGAGGTCTTTGAACCACTTGGATTTAAGTTTTGTGCATGTTGATAGATATGGATCTATCTGCAATCTTCTACATGTCAGCATCCAGGTGTACCAGCACCATTTGTTGAAGATGCTTTCCTTTTTCCATTGTGTAACTTTAGCTTCTTTGTCAAAATCAGGTGTTCATAGGTATGTGGGTTAATATCAGGGCTTTCAATTCAATTCCATTGGTCTACCTGTCTATTTTTGTGCCAATACCAAGTTGTTTTCAGTTCTATGGCTGTATAATAGAGTTTGAAGTCAGGGATAGTGATGCCTCCAGAAGTTCCCTTATTGCACAGGGTTTTTGTGACTATCCTGGGTTTTTTGTTTTTCCATTTAAAGTTGAGAATAGTTATTTCAAGATCTGTGAAGAATTGTGTTGGGATTTTGATGGGGATTGCATTGAATATATAGATATCTTTTGGCAAGATTTCTATTTTTACTACGTTGATTCTACCTATCCAAGAGCATGGGAGATTCTTCTATTTTCTGGTATCTTTAATTTCTTTCTGGCTCAACCTTCCTGCTTGCCTATGTCCTCCTCTCCCCTCCTCTTTTCCCCCTCTCTTTCTCCCAGCAGCTGACAGGTCTTTCACTTCTTTGGTTAGTGTTACTACAAGATATTTTATGCTCTTTGTGGCTATTTTAAAGTGTGATGTTTCTCTGATTTCTTTCTCAGCCCATTTATCTGTGTACAGTAGGGCTACTGATTTTTTTAGTTAATTTTGTATCCTGCTGCTTTGCTGAAGGTATTTATCAGCTGTAGGGGTTCTCTAGTAG